ACTCATCAGCTGCGCACAGTTCCCGGCGACACCGGCTTGCTTGAGCACAGAAGCTCCACCCACATTCAGGTCGCTCGCATTATATTTGCCGGTGTTGTGCCTTGAGTTTACCTTTGCCGTGAGATTGCCCCCATCCTTCTTTAACACACTAGATCTAGTAAACTTGAATTGTCCACCTTCGAACGACTGGGATGGCTCTGAAGAATAAGGAATTAGTTTATTTTCCAAACCTGCCACTCATCCCAATGTTTTCGGGATATCCAGATTTTTTGCCCCAAATTTCCAAGCATCTCGATTTTCCCAATGTTGATCCCGAGTATTCGGATTTAAAAAAAAATTTTTTGGTTTCGTCTTGTGCCGGATTTTTTGTAAAATCTTACTCTGCCTTCTTTTCTGTCGTGGGAAGCACTCATTAAACTTTTTGTCAGCAGAAACTCGAAGCACTATTTTCGAAATGTCTATGTCGAATTTAGTTGTTGTGTTGGATCTTTGCACGCCAGAGTTGTTTCAAGAAACTTATATAATGGAAGTAGTATTGGTTGGGAATCCGACTTGGGACATTCTCAAGACCTAGGCCCTAAATCATAATCATATTCGCTTTTATTTTTGTTTCAACTCAGAATTCTCTGATGATGGCCTGACTAATAGCTGTTTAGTTTAAATTGCGACGCACAAATGATCAATATTATTCGTAGTTTTGCTATTACTTTCAAAACAAGCTTTATCCGAGTTCTGGTTTGCCGGGCTTGTCATCAAGACCCGTCAGTAAAACTCTTTCATTCGCACTTTCGCACCACGTGACATGTCTCCCACCAAAGTGAGTTCCTCGTGTGTTGTGGACCGTCCGTGTACGGAGTCAATTTAAGTTCAAGCACACCGGCTGAAGCGTCTTTCGGGACTTATCTGGGGGGGTATTAAACTAGGACAGCTTGACGTGATACTTCAGGATTTTAAAAAAATAATGGTAAAACACACACAGGCACGGGTACACACACTCACACCCACAAAAATACATCCCTTGAAATTGTTAAAGTCAGATTGGCAGTGACCTTGGTGATTTGTCGTTGATCCCGATTTTTCCCCCCACGGAGATCCTGACTTTTAGGTTTTTTTAGTGTTAGTAGAGGTTTTACGGCGCTCACAACTGCATAAGGACATGAGCGCCAAGGGGTGGATGTCAATAGAGAAGTCCTTACAGGGAATCAGACTTACTCTGCTCTCCTCTCTAGCTTCAACAGCATAAAGTCTGCTTTGACTGTCAAGGCACCCTGGAAATAGCGGGTCACAAGAGTGTGACAAACATACAGAAGAAGTAGAAGAAATGACGATAATAAGGATTAGGAAAGAAAATGCAGCACAGTTATGAGTATGACATTGTTAGATCAGCCCATTTACAATTCTACTGAGCACCAGAACGAGAAATGTCCCCCCTTTGGGAATGACCTAAAGACACTTCAGTTGGTGGCACCGCCCCGGGGGGGGTGATCCTGACTTTTAGATTTCATTGATTGGCAGGTCTGATTTTCTTTGTGCATTACAGTACAGTTCGCTGGCTGGGTGCAAGAACCCTATAAGTGCCAATTTGCAAATTGACTCTTATAGGGTTCTTGCACCCAGCCAGCGAGTTGGAATTGACCCCTTTTAGTTTGTCAAACTTTTTTTATTTTTGATTGGCTCAACCACCACCACCCTTCCCCCCTCCAAATGGACACAACTCTTAGTGTGGTCAGTATTACTCATTTATTTATTTCTGTTACTAAGAAACCTTAAGTTAATTAACAAATTGTTAGCATTGAATCATAATAATGGTTTCTATATATGTGTGTTTTAGTTAAGTACAGGGTTTTACGGCGCTCGAAACTGCATACGGTCATATGAGCGCGCGAAACACAAGTTGGTAGCATTCGCAACAGTTCACTGCACGGTTGGTCGACAATTAGACTTTAAAATGCTAAAATGCTAAAATTCAGTGTAAATATATTTGCGATTTAAAACAACTCTTATAAATAACAATAAAAATTTTGTGTCTGTGTGAATGTGCGTGCGTGTGAGTTAAATATTTACATGCAAAAATTCCTACTTTAAAATTAGGAAATAATTGACTTTTACCCTTTAAGTTTCTAAAACAAGGGTTTAAATACTCCTTAAGATAGAAAGCCAAAGGGTGAAAGAACCTCTTAAGTTGGTCTGAAAAGGGGAGCCCTGGTGTTTTGGGGCTTCCAGGCTGTTATTTAATTGCGCTTTGCCGGTGGAGCCAAAGATCCGGGGTTCAAATTCTGGTGAGTGTACACAAGCTGTGGTGCTTGTCGTCTTCCTGCGTGCAACACACTTGACACTGCGGGGTCAACGCCGGATATGCCAGGATTTGAGCCTTTTGGTATTTCATCACAAGACCTGTGGCATTGTAACGTAGGCATGTTTTGGCGAAGAAGGACGAAGATCTGTATATTCGTCGCTTTTTCGTATACTGAGGACGAACCTCTCGTATTCGTCCTTTTTTCACAGTAGGACCAGAGATTCGTCTTTCTTTCATAAAATATAAAATAAATTTAAAAGAAAAAATTATGACGATACTTCCAATACCAAAATAAAGTATTCGAACATTTCTAAATGTAATGGCCACTGGTTCAAAAGATGCAGCTTTTCATACTCTTTCACATGGTATCGATATCTCTATTTGACCCAATTTCCGATATTCGTCCTTTTTTCCTAAGACTAAAAAAAAAAATTTTTTTTAAACATCTATTGTCCCTATGTCTCTGTCTTGTAACACTTCTAATCTTCAGCACTTATGTAACCTAATTGTGTTGCAAGTGCTGTAAAATTCTTACTAGAACAAGAAGAAAGCTGCTATAATAATGTGTACTTGTACTGTTTTCCTCAGGCAAGAATTGCCTTTCTGCAAGGTGAAAGGAAGGGTCAGGAAAACCTAAAGCAAGATTTGGTGAGACGCATCAAGATGCTTGAGTTTGCGCTGAAACAGGAAAGGTAAGTTACAAATGAATGTCTGTGTCCAATAGATTATATGTTTTGAGGAAAGTTAGAGAAGACTGAGTGTATCAGACAATTCTTTTTTCACCTTTTAAAAGCGATGGTGTTTACTGTTACGGTGTGTGAGTAGGATTGTTGTTTCATTTTGTGGTGTCGTTAGAAAGACAATTTTAGGGTGGTGATGACTGATTTATTATTATTCCCAACAAGCAGTGACCAGACGGGACTTTTCAAGAAATCCCCTCTCCCTCAACCCCACTCTCTTTGTTTTTCCTAACTGGATGATGAGCCCACAAGACCATTTTTCATTTCATAATTCTTTTGTTTATGTCAATCATCTTTGAACCTGCATCCATCCTTTCTTGACACTCCAGGGAAAAGACTATCCATGGTCATATACCTTCAGATTTTTTAGCCGGATTACCAATTTTTTAATTTGATGATTACTAAAACATTTGCAGGTGGGTGGGAAGCCCTGCCGTAAAAACTAGAAACATCATAGTTGATTGTTAAAACTAAAGCAGTTGTCAGACCAATCTGACGACAGACCGTCAACAATAGGAGAAACATGGCGGTATGTCTTCAGCTAAACCAGCACCCATTATTGTTCTAATTCTTTATTGGTGCTTTTAAGCTTTCTTTTTGATAGGGAATGATGATATATTTAGATGAGCTTTACAAGCATCATATTCAATGCTAATAGCCAGAATTTTACTTAATTAATTAAGAGAGGTATACGCCCGCTGGTGAAAAGGAAAGGGATGTGCACCTTTTGATCTCCAGACACTGGTGCTTATGGCATTGATGTCAACCCACCCTATGTAAATACTAATATTTTCAATATTTATCATTGGATAATTTGTAGCCAACACAGCTGCAATGGATACAAGATCACTCTTCCATGAAATGAAATTGTCAATGGGTTAGCAGAGATGCCAACCAGTATGATATTACGTATTATAGTACGATTTTTTGCCGAAAATACGCGAATACGACTTTTCATGAAAAAATACGCATCCTGGAATGCGAAAAATACAAGATTGAGCTTGGGCGAGTAAACCAAACCTAATAATCTCAAGTCCCATCTTTTGTCAAAATAGTACCAGTGTCGCAGAACTGAAATATTTGAAAACCAAGTCCGATAAGGTCAGTAAGTTCATTTTTGCCGGTCGCGATCGTGATATTATATTCGTTCAGCTTTTCCCGGTCCGGATAGTACGTTTCACTTTCACGCGAATAGGCAGCTGTGGCGGCAGGCGAAAGCGTATGTTCGATCGGGAAAATCAAGATCTGCTTTCGTTAGGCCTACCACCGAGTAGTTTGCCAGCAGTTGTCTGATAACGCAACATTTTTGGACATGCGGGTTGTGCAGTATAAACGCAATGTCGCTGTGCTAATAAAACTTAATCAATGCTCGGACTCACCTCTGTGCTCTCACTTGTGGAAAGAAAAGAAAAGAAAATACAAGCGTCGTCCGATTTTTAGATTGTCGGGCTCCCCATCGTGACCGATCACTGAACCTGTGCGCATTCGCGTCAAATAAATGCGGCATCGTGTGAGCAAAGACCGTCTTTGGTGGGAGTAACGGCCTTGCGAAGTATAGGACTACGGAATAGGGGAGGAGATTATTGAGCTTTTGGGGGTTTAAGATACTATGGGGGAGAGTGTGAAGGCAATACCAGAGGACAAAAACTTGGAAGCACATTTCAGAATTTTTATTAGAGCTTTCTGCAAAGCGCGCGTTGGTGCAGGCCGTGAGCGGAATCGGGACCCTTCATACTTTGCAAGTCTGTGTTATATTGAAATAATGTGTTCGCGTTTTATTGAATGTGTGATAGTTAATTATACCTACAGTGTATGTTGTAGCTTTCTGTTCAAGACTGGTAGATTTTCAGTGTGTCACTGCATCTTGCCCTACCACAGTTGTTACAACTCTCACAGTGCATGGGTCTGCTTGAGCCATTCAAGTTATCGCTTTTCTCTGAGTTTGAGCAATAATTTGAGTCTTGTCAGTTCATATTATGAATCATGACACCCAGAAAGGTTCTTGATAGTCGAAATTTTTGTTCTAGGCCCTTCCTAACTCTCAAAGCAGGATTTATTTTTTTACATAATAATGAGAGGAAAATATTACCGGTATATAATAGACTGAAATATTTAAGTCAAACAAGACCCCAGTACGACATTGAACACTGACATGTTGTTGACTGGATACATGTATATTGTACGCATGTGTGCTCCCTTTTTCGTGCTGGTGAGCTAGTAATTTTACTAGTTGGTCGGTCGTGGGGAATACACATTTTCGCCTGAAAATAGACATTTTCATATTTCCCAATACTCATTTCGGTTTTCAGTGGTTGGCATCTCTGGGTTAGCAAATAAACGCCATTGCTATTACCTCTTAAGTAGGGCAAATCTGGTCACAATCTTTCCAAATTTAGGGTCGGAGACACAGCCCTATGTCAATGTAGCCATTGTCCACAGAATAGCCATTGTATCCTGCAGCACTATACTTGATTCATAAAAGCTTAAAAGCACAGGTGTGGCAGTATGTTACACGACTGGAGAGAAAACTGTAAGGCAGCCCAGAGGATTTACACCTTACTACTGCACACTTTTGCATATCACTGAATTGACTGTCATTGAAACAAAGATGGAGAAGAAGATAGATTTAACAATAATTGCTTTTTTTTTTTTAAAACTTGCCCAGGCCAATTTCATTGGGCCCAGCACAAGAGGGGAGTTCATCACTGAATGGGTTGAGAAAAAAAATTGTGTGAAGTTTAATGGAAAAAAATATTTGTGTTTTTTTGTTGTTTTTTTTTTTTCAGAGCAAAGTATCATAAACTCAAATATGGAACAGATTTGAATCCTGATGATTTGAAGCCCCCAAACTTTGACAAGGAGAATAAAGGTATTTGAAACTATTTGAAAAGTATTTGATGCTGACTTATGAAATTGATTTCAAATTGTGCAAGTATATGGCAAAAACATTTTCTTAACAGGCAATGTTCATATCAAATGTTTTGGGGCAATGTCTGAGTTGGCTTGGTTTGATTTGTGGGGTGGTTTTTTGTTTGTTTTTTCCACTTGTCTTTTTATATAAGAAAAGGAAGCACTTTTTCAATTCTGTAATTGTGTGTTTCTCATTGCCTTATTAATTGTGACATTATTTATCCTCATTTTGCAGTTGAAATTGTTTGTTTCTTTGGTAGCTTGTACATCACTGAGGAAGTCTTGAAATGTAAAGGAAAATGAGTGAAAAAGGAATCGGGAGTACAATATAGGTCACACAATAAGAACTTTTCACATGTGGGATGAAGGCACTCATTGCTCTACTGATGTTCACGGTACTCACATTATAATTTGTCTTTCCAGATGACCAAATTGATGGTGAAATTTCAATATCCACCTCTTCTGGTTCAAGCAATGCCACCTGGCGTCAAGGGCGACAGCTTCTGAGACAGTAAGTGTGGAGGAATTAGAACTGATGGTCTCTTTCAAAAACTTCAGTTGAAGCCTTTTTTAAGTCTGATTTCTGATAATTTGAGTTTAAAATTGCACTTGTCAAGCAGTTAGTGAAGAATTGAGTCTTTTTTCCCCAATAAATTATATTGACTGAAATTTGAATGTTTGCTTTAGTTCTGTGTGTAAATTCGTTCTAGGGGTCGATTTGTGAGTTTATGCAACTATTTTATTCTTGTTGCTTGTTTCTGCCCTTATTAATTCTGTCAGTGGTGACCCAAACTGTGTACCGATACTCATTCTCCGTTTTTGGTTTATTTTTTCTCTCAGGTATCTTCAAGAGATTGGATACACCGACACAATAATTGACGTGCGATCTGCTCGGGTTCGCTCTCTTTTGGGCCTTCAAACGCAGGGTGGAGATAATGATGCTGACATTTCACAGTCAGTATTGGTCAATGGTGAACAGCAATTGAACAAGAGAGATAATCAGGGGAAAAGGTATGTTTTTATCTGTCTTGCCGTCTACTCTGGTCTTTTTTGTTACATGATGCCAGTGATGCCTGTTTTCAGGAATGTCTGGTAAGATGGAAATTATTTAAAAGATTTCCTACTTTTTAAATTATTTACTGCTGTTCTCACTGGAAGCACATAATATTGCTGCAGTCTTTTCCGCAAATATTTATTTTCTGTCTGTACGTGACTTGCTTTTTCTTGGCTAGCTTGTTCACACATTTAAGTGTAAGTTAATTTCAGGCTTGTTTTCTAGGGGGTTTCATGGTGTCTTTTAATTTGGGCAAGTCGATCTTTATTTAGAAGTAGTTTAGTTGTTTTTATTAAATATATCTATTGGTTATTCGTGTCTGGCTTGAACTGCAAGAATCCTGAAATCCTTTCTTAACTTCTCTTGTCAGCTATTTATTCTACCCCGTCTTAAAAGTAATATTGATCATAACTTTAAGACTCCATTCTTTCATCTCTCTTTGACCAGTACTTCAAATCTTCCATATTTTTATAGAAATCCGTACTTTCTGTATTTTCCACACCTGCCCCCCTCATCATTATCAACTCCATCGCTAAAAAGTGCGATAGAATAGGGCTACCTATATTTCTGTAGCAAAGAGTCTGTACTTGCCTCCATATCGTCCTGGATATGTTCAGGATAATTACTGTAATTCTCCACAATAAGTTTTGTATAATTTGAAACCTGCCAGAGTGGGCATTTCCTGCACTTGGCCATTATCCCTGTATGTATCAGTAAAAATCTGGCTGGTCGTAATAGTGAAAATTTTGTGCCAATTTCTTTTATTCACTCATTCTCTCTATCTTCGGTTCATTGTCATGTTCTGGAAGATCTGTGGGTTAAACAAAAAAATGTGAATTTTGGTTTTAGAAAGAAACTTTTTAAAAATCTGTGTAAACCTAGAACCATTCTCAGATAAAAAGTGTCGCGAAAGAAAGTGATGCTTACATCAAGAATAATGGGAAAGTTCTCGTAAGTGGTAACTGCATTATATAGAGATATATATGAAAACGAGCACTTATCACAGCTATGGAAAAGCTATTTCAAGACTAGTAGTGATATCAGTGCTGTAGCTGACACAATGAAGACCACCAGACTTCCTTCGTCACTGTATCCAGGGCTTCCACTGCCCCTCTGATTCTGGCACAGTGTACATGCTCCCTTTGATTTTCCACTGCTTTGAGACCTATCTATGTATTTATTCCTGCAGTAAGTTTTGTCTTGAATCTGAATGTTGAAAAAGAATGTTTCAGCAGTTTGTTTTTGCCTTCTCATTTGCCCAATAAGGATATTTTTCTTACGATGAGGGAAAATATACATTGAGAAAATATGTATTTGTGTGTGCATGCACATTATGTGTATATGTGTGTGAGTGAATGTGCGCATTGGAGTACACACTGTCACCATTTTTTTTTTTCCCTGAAAAATTAATGGCCACCTTTGAAATATTCTGAAGCTAGTTCTGCAGTCGCCTTACAGCTTTATTTTCTTGATTATTTTTTTTCCATCAGGGCTGGTTTGAAGAAACTTGGAAACATGGGAAATGAAACTGCCCTAATTGATGCAGAGAATGCAGTCATGACCACTTTTGACTTCTTGAATCAAAGCAATGTAGTAGAGGATGAAGATGACCTCAGGTAATATTTTGATTTTATTTGTTCAGAATCTTTGTGTACCCAGGGAAGGTCGTCTTAGTTCTGTTCCTCTTTCTAAAAGTTGGGTTTGAAGAGGAAGTGAAAAAATAGAGAGACTAGTTACTTTATTAATTTATTATTATTTAATCATGTGGCAAGAGGTTCTGATAGGAAAAGGAGGTTACTGTATTTTAGTGTGGAAGTTTTGATTGGGGGGGGGGGGGCTTTCTGATCTAACCAAAAAAACATTGTTTTTCATAATTAACAACGAAGTGTTGTGTGGGGTTGAAGAAATGAGGACTATATCAAGCAGGTTAAGTATAATGGTTTATCAATATTTGCAAAATAGGGGTCTTTGTTGACTTACGTTTGCCCTCTTTGCTCTACAGTGACGAGAATGAGGACGGAATGGCTGCAGATGATGAATCAGAAGAGAGGCTAGAAAGAAAAGGGATCAAATTGAAGGTATTGACTAATTTGAATATATTTCTTTTTAATTAGGTAATGATGAACAGGGGGATGTTAATGGTAATTAGTTTTGTTTCTTCTCTGTGCTGTATGCACTGTTTTGTTGGGGGTTTTTTCATTGAGAAAAAGAAGTGGATAGCATTAGTTTTCAGCATTTTAAACATTTTTGTAAGTGATTGATTATGATTTATTGAGGGCCTGATCATTTTTTCCCTTTTTTGTAATTTTGTAATTTTTCTCATTTCATATTGTTGACTCTAGTGCTAATGTGACGAAATAATCTGATCGTTGTTGTACAGTCACACAAAAAATAAAACTTTCTAGTTATAAGTCGCAGATGGTTTAAAAACTGCCACAGGTCTTCCGGCTCAAAAATACTTTCTTACTTCAAGAAGTGGCATAGCGCGAGCTTGGTATCAAATTGATTCGAAACAACTTTAGATGTTTATTTTGATCTCTTCTCTGATTTTTTTGCGAAGTTTCAAGACTACCACATCGTCTTTATACTTAAACTGAAGCTTAAAGAGGGTAACCCCTAGCATATCAAGTAGTACCTTTCTCATGCAATAGCACAAGGGGGGTCCCGATTAGGACATTCGGCCGAGCTACTAAAAGGCTTTTAATGTGTCCTTGAGCTTCTATTTACTTGTTAAAAAATATCTCAGGACCTAGTGCATTCAATATCTATTACGGTATCTTAACCCTCTTAGTGCGCACCACGACCAGTGACCAGTGGTCGTGATGACTCGTACCTCCCTTCCGTGTGCATCGTGACCACCAGCGGTGATCCGACCTGAGTGTAGAAACTATACCGCTGACGTGAGGATAGCGATTTTTTTAATTGCTGGTGGCTACAGTCCACCAGTGCAACGTTTATTACTGCCATTGGCCGTTCATTTGGCAGTCAGTGATCAGTTCAGAGGTTTTTATCGGCAATTTTCTGGGATATTGTTTAGTTTTCAAAATGTTGGATTCGTCAGCTCATTTAGTCACAGATTTGCCCAACTTTTTCAGGAATCAGATGACAGTGATGAAGAGTTTGAAGGCTCAGGTCCTAAGATAAAAGATTATGTGTGAATGATGAGGATATATCATAGATCTAGCGAGGTTCAGCCCAGAAGGGGACATCGATATTCCTGCTGATCTTCAAGCTCGCTAGACTAAAAATAATGAGGATTTTGATACCAACAACATCATAAAGAACCACATCTGACCAGACGTAGGGATTGTTCATTAAATAACACTTTGCTGTCATATTTTGGGGAAAATCCAAAGAAACTGGGTGGTAAACATCGCCATTCGGCGAGATGAAGCGGCTAAGTGTAAAAGACACATTTTTCCTTCTTACTGTAATGAAAAATTATGATAAATAAGAAAGATATGAGCTATTTTTTATAACCATGTTGAAAATTAGAATTTTTCTAAAAAAATAAACCCAGCACTGAAGGGAAATAATAGAAAAAATGGCTTAGCACAAAGAGGGTTAAGTTTGTATATACTGCCAAACCCGCCTTAAGGGAAACCTGTCTTAACGGAATCTCTGCGCTCCCCCCTTAATATATTTCTCTTTTATTACCCGTATAAAAAGGAAACCTGTCCAACGAGGAAATGGAAAGAAAAAGCTGCTCCCTTCCAAGGGTTTCACCTGTCTAAGACGGAAAATGCTTTGCCCGCTGAGCCCTGATTTGAAACAAAACTCGCTAGTTTGGTTGCGCCGGCTCTAAACTTAATGCCATGGCCATGCCGCTAGGCGAGGAAGGAGAGTAGGGGTGCAATGTCGGGGTAGATGTTACTATTGTTACCCCATCATGTGACCCCTTAACGATGCAGATGGTCAGGGTAGTGTGGGTGTGAAATCTTACGATTGCCCGTGAGAGTGCTCGAGGAGCAAGCCACTATGGAAACTCTTGGGTAGCCAGAATCCAGAGGTGTGAAATTAGTTTGACTGCTGCCCTGATCGTACGTCAGCCGAGAAAAAAGTTCCTCGAATCGTTGTTACATGGCAGTGGGGGGTGGCATTGGTTGACTATGCTTGTTACATCGGTGGGTGGGGTTAAGGGTGTAAACAAAGGAATTGTTCAAACTTTTCTGTTTTTAATAGGTCGAGTGACGCATGCCATTATCAGACAGGGTAGCAGTTGAGAGGTGTGAAGTTTTGACCACTGCTTGCCGATCGGACAAGCGATCCTTGATCCCACTGGCAGGGCCTTTGAACATCCCCCCCTCCTCCATTTCCCCCTAAATTCCCCTGTCTTAAGACGGAACTTTTTTCTGGCTCCCTTGCGATTCTGTTTTACACAGATTCGACTGTATGTGTCTTTTGTGTAGAATGTGGTTGGTAGGAGGATGCATTGATGGGGCTTACTGTTTTTCTTACTCTGTTATTTCTATGACTTTTGAGTCTTGAATTTCACCTGCATTGAATGACCAGTATCATGTGAATGTGCTTCTCTATACTAAAGTTCTCAAACTGAAACTTTATCCAGAATGACACCAACGAAAGTCTCGCAGGGGTAGATGATAACGATCCAGACACGGAGGAAGCTCTTGCAGAATTTCATTTTCTCGAGTCAGAAATGGTGGAGGGAGCAGGTAAGTCTGTGCTGCACCTCCAATGCTATTAACACCTTGAGTAGAGTCCTGTTACTTGGCCTGACCCCTGTCGTGTCTCACCCCCTTCCTCCTGTTTTATCCAGTTGTTTGCCTATTGTAGAGCGATCTGACCACAATGACATGCAAAGAAACTGTTTGATGCCATGTTTTCAAAGTGATGCCCTTTTCCTGTTTTACTGCTGTCTTCACCTTCATTTTCGTGTTGTCTATTTTTGAGCTGCTTTTATTTTTTAAATAATTTTCTTTTTCTGTTCTGTAACTGTCGAATTCTTGTTCAATAACTTCTTAGCTACACACAAATGTTTTCTGTTGAAAACTGTAAGGATAGTGAAGCCTTATTGAAAGCATCTTCATGAGCAGGTTTTACAGCTTTGAGACAGAATCATTAACAGATTTTCATTAACTATGTCAGTTCTATCAGATCAGACACTCACAGTACAGATATTATGAAACCTGAGTTAAGATAGTGTCACATTTCTGTCTTCTGATCTCTTGTATGTCATTTGTTGTGAATTGAGTGTGCATAATACTTCATATCAGCTCTTTTGTGTAAATGATGGGTTGGCATGCTATTTAGCTGCATTGAATTTTAAGATTTTAAGGATGATTTTTCAAAAGTTCTCTGTAATGAAGTGCATATTTGATTGAAGGCCTTCTCTTGCTGAATTTGAAAGTATTCAAGAGGAAATTTTTGTGCAGGATTATGTATACCAATCCATTACTGTTTCTCTCACAATGAGACACAAACACTCACCTAGCAGTTTTGTTTTTGGTCACACTTGCACAGTTTCTCTTCATTTGCTTTATTTTTTGTTGTTCATATGTTCCATGGTTTTTATCTGCTGTTCCTCACACGCCTTTACCTACTAGCAACTCATTAAGAACTTAATGATCTTTAGTAGTTACTTCTTTGTGGGATCTAAAATAGGAAGTCACCTACTGTTTTGGCTTTTAGTTCTGTTGGTCCATTTCGCTTTTGTTCTGATACAAGCATGGGGGTATGTTTTTGTTCAAGTTGGGGAAAAGAATTAATGGGCTTTTCAGAACAATTTTTTTGCTCTTGGTGAAACCTGTTGATTTTCTTTTGAAAATTCATTTGGAGAACTGATTTTTTCAGCAAAGATATTTATGGTGCGTTTTTATTTTTATTTTAAACTCCTGTTCTTTTGAAAGTCTTGTTCTTAATCACGCCCTCATCATTATCACCTAAAATATGATGTGTGTTTAAATAATATGTGTTTGACTTTTAGAGATAACGGGTTGGAGTGGGGGCTACCTGATGAGTGTAATGGCAAGATGTCATCATGCCATGGATGGTACTGTGCTTTAAATGCTTTTTTAAAAAAGATAGGTATATAATAAAGGCACATACGAAATAAAACCACGATGTAGGTCTCCTTTGTTGTGAAAGTCATTTTATAACATGCTAAGCTCCCGTTATTGCTGTAAGTTTTCCCTTGCATCTTTTATGATGTATGTTGTATAAGACTGCAAAAGTTCATACATTTATTCATATGCATATGCCTGGGAACGTTTCATAATCTTCAATTTGATTGGTTGGAATATTGTTAAGAGTACATAAGAGGGAGACAGGGTGCTTATGGGTGAATTATTTTTTTACCTGAAGTGGGGAACTTTGGGATTTTGTTTTTGAATTCGGACAGTGGGAGATTATTTGCCCCAACGTCCCATTACATAACGGAGTCAACCAGTAGCTTAACATTTGAAATGTTTATGCTATATTTCTAATGCTTCTTGAAAGTCTGAAATGACTCTTTACTTCTGTAATGTTTAGTGAAGAGTAGGGAATGGGAATACAGTTTGCTTTATAACACTAGAAAGAATGCTGTCTTCATAGACTTTGTTGTCATATTTTTAGTGTCTTTATTGTAATGGTGTTTAAAACAGAAAAGCGTGACTCTCCTTCGGGCGAGGAAGAGGAATGGGTAGTAGATCAGCGCCATATATCTGAACTCAAAGAGCAGTATAAAAAGGAGAGGAAGGGAAAGAAAAATAGTAAGTGTTGTACCAGTGATCTCACTTCACATATGTTACATGTCATTATGTTGTGGTGTTTGTTGTTGTTAATTTTTTCTGTTGGAAAAATGTTCCTTTTTAAGAAACAACTTATTCGTTAGACTGGATGAAAAAAGAAAATTATTTGGTAGAAACAATATTCTGTACTTGGCATTAATGATGAATGATTTATTTCAAAGCAGTTGCTCCCTGTAAAGAAGTACAGTCTAACCTGTCATGGCGGCTACCTGTACAATCAGCCACTTTCCACTTTCCCTTCACGTTTTTTCTTTATTATTGCACTATATGAAACGATAACCTGTCCAACTCGGGCGCAGCTGCTTCTTTTTATCAACTAGACCTGCATGTTTGCCGACAATCGTCTGAAATCCGACAATCGCGACCCCGACCCGCGAACCAGCCGATGCTATCGCTAGCTCCGCCTGTATCAGTCAATGTGCGTAGTGCGAGGCCTGGTCGTGTGCCAGCAACCCCTTTTTCTCCCGTCAGCTTTGTCGGCACTTTCGTTTTCGTGCCGGCCGCCGACGCGCTCACCGCCGACGCGCTCACCGCCGACGTCAGCGTTTCCGACATAATTGTCGGAACCTGAGTAGAAATGCGAATACGGAAAAGTACGACGACTTAAATTATCTACTTTCAGTTTCTTGCACGAGCGGCCATTTTGAATTTCGTTTGTTTACTGATTGTTCAGATCATGTGGATTCTTTAAGTCCGACTCATTTGTTCTACTCTAGATCTAGATCGAGATTTAGATCTATATAGATTATTATGGACCTCATTGGAGGATTCATATTCCAATATTATTGTGTCAAACCATATTATAGGTTGTGCTGTAATATTAATGTTGGTAAAATGCATTTTATCAGGTGCATGAATTATTTACTTAGAATAAAGATATCTCTAGACCCCTAGACTCAACTGAGTCCCTCTCTTCGGAATCGGATGCGGATTTCTCGTTCAAGGTCTAGATTCTAGATCTATTCCTATTCACTTGTTCTACTAGATCTAGATCTATATGGAGGATTCATAGATCTTTATCCAATTCTATTGAATTGTATCAAACTCTTTATAGCAATGTAGGCCATATTATTTTATTTATTATAAATGCTCCTTGTTTGTTTTGGAGTGTGCTTATTTCTTTCTTTCTTTCTTTTTTTTTGGACTTGTGCTGGCCTTTTTACATGAGGGCCGTTGCGAGTTCTTTTTTGGGGTAGGCCGATAGGGTTTGGGTTAGGGTTAGGTCTTTTCTTTATTGTGTTTGTTCGGGTGGTCGCTCGTTACTCGGAAATCCTTCCTTTTATGACACCCGCAATTTAAAAGCTCTCAAGTTAGGGGGGGGTTGCGCAAAATTTTCAGACAATCTGGTTGAGGCTCACATGCAGGTCTAATCAACCATCAACCCGAAAAGTCGGTGTAAGTTACCACAAGAATCTTTCGTCGCCTCATGCTTTGTCATAAATTAAATATCAGCCCAAGATGCTGTGGGAGAGCCATCATAAGCCATTCACCTGTAATTTTGGTTGATCCCTCCAGTGAATGAACCGACCATGTTACATAGGTCCTCCGCACATTTTTTTACCCAGGTTGACCAGTAGGTAACAAATTTTCAGGTGTTAATGAGTGTGGTGAATGATCCGTCATGACTGTAAACTTGCCCTCAACTCGTGCACATATCATAAGTGAGATGGACAGTCGTTCTGTTTACCTGGTCCATAACCGTGAACCCCAACATCAACTTGTGACAGGCGCTCCTTCACTGAATAGTGGCGACCCATTTGTTTTACCATGGCACCCAGTCTTCCTAGTCGGACACATTTCATTTTGTTTTAACCCTTGCTCAAAACCAGCAACAAAAAAACACACACACTCTCTCTTGTCTCTGTCTCTCTTTCTCTCTCTCTCTCTCTCTCTCTCTCTCTGTCTCTCTCTCTCTCTCTCTCTCTCTCTCTCTTTCTCTCTCTCTCTCTCTCTCTCTCTCTCTTTCTTTCTCTCTCTCTCTCTCTTCCTCTCTCAAAAGAGAATGGTTTATCTTCATTTTGATCAGTCCTGCCTATGACTATGACAACCACTTTTCTTCTCGACAACGGGTGGCCGCCGTAAACAGAATCGACTGTATGTAAATTCAATTTCTGACATATGCAGTCTTCAGTAATCTAAAAAGGAAAAAAGGTGTGGTGGGGTATCTAGAAAATAAGTTGTTTCGTGTTGAAAGGATTCATTATTGTAAATGCTTATATTTCTTTTTTTTGTTCCATGTTTGTTTTCTTAGTTTAGTGCATGGTTAATGAGTGTTGTCATTGAGTTACAGCATGATCCTTTTATTGCTAATGAAATTCAGCATGGACAGTGGTAGCTTCTCACATTAAAGTTAGTTTGGCCATGACCACTTGCATGTTTCCAATTTGCACAGCTATTATAGAGTTTATTTGTTTTGTTTTTCTTGGAAGTTTTTTTTATGTTTTATTAATTTTTACTGTCACAGCAGGAAAAGCTTGTATTTTTTAAGTTTTAAGTTGTTCAACAATATTATATTGCTTGAAGATATTGACTTTTGCTCATAATTTAAAGTAAAAAAAACGATTAGATGATAGAGTTGTTTTCATTTTTTCTTTATTAATGTTCTTATCGGTGTCGCTTATTTAGGGGGCTTTCATTTTGTTTATGTGTTTGCCAGTATCTAACATGCTTTTAAAGTGTTCTTCCTCTCATTTGATTGTTGTGTTAATTCCCTGTGTTATTTTGCTCTGTGGTCGCCTTGCCTTGCAGGGCCTACTCGCCATGCCTTGCAGGCCATGCTAGCAACTCTGGGGGGCGATGATGATGATGATGATGATGTGTCTGCAGACAATAACAGTGATCGTTTGCCCAGTGATGAAAACAGGGACGATGGTAGGGATCAGATGACCATATCCCTATATGCGACACCTTCAAGCTCTCTCATTATCTTGGGAGCCTCTTGCCTAACATTTGAAAATATTTCATATTCCTTTATATTTTGGGAGTCTGCAGCATAAAGTTCGGTTATGTTTGATAAAGTCTTACTCCCAGAGTCGGTGGCTGAACTTTGGGACTTTTTTTTTTTTTTTTTTTAGTATAGATTTTTGCTCTGCGTATTTACTAATAGGTCGGGTTGGCATTGTTGTCACTTGATTTCAAATTTGGTATAGTAGACAAAAAGAATCATGGAGCACAGTGGTTGCTATGCTTGCATTGTTTTTTGGAGCTGTTCTGTTTTCTTCTTGAGAGTGGGTGAGAGAGAAACCGTATCTGAGCAATTTTAAGTTTGTTCACCAAAAAAAGCAACTGCTTCAATCTAAGAAATTTGCTAATGAAACAACTTTAAAAAAATAAAAATATTTATTTTTAAAATTAAAATTGGGGGGTGTCACAAAAGCAGATTTATAGAATAATATTTTTTTTTCTAGGGGATGGGTATTTTGTGGTTGCTTGAAAAGGATGAATATAATTTATTTTTTGCACTTTGTGCTCTATTTTTTTGTTTGGTTTTTAAGATTTTTTATATTTTGAGTTGTTGTTTCTCTCTGACTTTGACTGTTCTAATGACAATGCTGCATGGATGTTCCCCAGTTTGCTTATTTAGCTTGTTCTGGTGACTCACTGCACTAACACTAAATTAAACCTGTAGAGGATGTTCTTTACCAAAGTATCGTGGTAATGTTTTTTTTCTTTTTACCTATCAATAAAATTGTTTTGTTAACCATGCATCAGCTAAACTGTACAATTGCGTATTATTACCTTATTGTGCAGTCAATTAATTTGGTAATATGCGACTATGAAGAGAAATTGTGTCCCTGCTTTACTTTTTCGATCCAGCGACCATTTGGGTTCTAGCCCTTCGGCCTGAAATTGTGTCCCTAAAATGGTTAACTGTTGGCGTTATTTTGACATTTGAAAACAAAATGGCAGGATTATTTGTTCGGAAGACAGGTCAACATGCTATGATGGGAATGTTGGAAAGGCACACAAGTTTGAATGGGGTGAGGCTTACCATGGATTTAGAGCATTGTAGAAGTTGGAATAGGGGAGTTGTAGATTTGAGTCTTTCTCTAAGTGCAGATGTAGATGGAACAAACAGGTTGGAATTGCATTCTGTCCTCAGATGTTCCGGCAGGAGGAAATCAGATCAACTATGCCAGGAAGCCTATGATGGGGATGCCTGATGATGAAGAAAATGACAGCGGTATGGGTCTCGGTGAGTTAGCGGGACTAACTGTCACCAATGAAGCAGATCCTATGAATTACGATGTAAGTTGGTATTTAATGATTCTGATTGGAACTGACTGAGCCTGTTGTCACTAAGCATTTTGTAAGCGAAGAGGGGGAATGAAAAACCTGTTACTACGCGTTCGGGTTTTTAATTTTTTTTTTTACGGAAAAAAAGGCCATTCAATACCTTCTTCACCAGTTTCCATGCATAACATAAATAACTTTTTTTTTTTAATTCATGATTTATAACTTTAGCTACCTTCCAACCTCTTCATTAGAGGGGGGAAAATTGTTTAAACATGGGGCCCCTTAAACTTTTATTTTATTACGGAAATTCAAAACCGAACTTTTTCAGCCAATAAAAAGCTCTGATAGAAAAGATGCAGTGAAGAACTAGTTTCAATTATGTTGGATGAAACATTTGCACTGGGCACGGTTAAAGTCATGGCCATTGATGAATGTTGTTCTTAGCACTGTAATCACATTAAAAAAAGAGGACAAAATCAATTAGTTTTATTATTTAAGAGATAAACATGTGTAAAGAGTCGATTGTTCTGTAAATATAACCGAATGAGAGATTCCAGTCTTGTGGTTTTATTAATGGTGGTTTATGTGATGAAGAGGGTTTTTCCAAATTTTATTCAGCTAAAGCAACTGTGGGGGTTATCGTCGGGTGGAGGTACTTATTTATACAAATGCTCCTGTGGATGGGTGGTTTACTCCTCCTTTTTATCAAACATGTATTGTCCTTATCTCTGCCTTCTTTTTTGTATGTGTTGTCTTCTAGTAACACCTCTAATCTTCCACACTTATATGACCTAATTGTTTTGCAAGTGGTTATGTCGTCAATAGGCTACAACATTGACCAAAGTCATTAACCATCGTTCTGAGAACATCATGTGATTTAGATGTATTACGAGGACAGTGATGAAGCCCACTGTTAAAAACAATCGGGAAACGACAAATGCAGTTTTTGGGACACCTGAATAGACATAAGGGTCTTGAACATCTACCAGCTCTCACCGGCAGAATTGAAGGCAAACGAGGCAGGGGTAGGCCCAGAACAACCTACTTAGGGAACCTAAACAAATGGGTAACAGGGAAATGTAGCTTTCTTAAGAGCATCCGATCAAAGGAATGAATAGAGAACCATGATTGCCGATGTCTGTCGCAGATCTGGCACTTGATGATGATGGTGAGGAGGACTGTCATGGTAGATGAATTTGATTTTGGCAGCAGTATCACTTGAACCATTGCAATAGCATATTGATAACTGTTTGTACACATGTTCCTTTCCCAGCCTGTCCTTTCTCTATGTTGAATAGGTGTATTTTTAAAGTTTTATTAGGTTTCATCATTATTTCAAGTGTATTTGATTTCCTATGAACAGATATCGGCACCAAAAGAAGTTTACAGAAAAACATGGAATGCCAAATACACTTTACGGAGGTAAGATTTTCCTTTTTAGCTTTTGACGAACATTGGATTACCAAAGTGGCATTTGTGTAACATTGTGAAATTGCTTATTTTAAAGATCAGTGATGTCTGTTTTACGGCTCATATCAAGGTGTGTGTGCCCTATAATAATACAAACAGATTGAAAAGTAAGGTAGATGACATCTTCTTTTCCAAGTCTCCTTGGGTCTTTCCATACTTCTATAACCACCTGGAGTCTCATTGGAAGGCAATACTAGAAGTAGATAATGTTGCAAAGCATCTCCATTTCCATGGTGATCAAACTGGTGGAGGTTTTCATGTGTAGGCCGTCCTCTGCAGCCTCTCTGGAACACTTCAAGCAAGCTTGTTGTTGATGAACTAAGTCACTGTCCATGACCCTCAGCTTATATCACAAGTGCATATCGAATTACTGACCCCTCAACCTTTTATTTCAGTCACTTTGATGGTGTAAGAGCGCTTGCTTTTCATCCTGTGGAACCAGTATTATTAACTGCTTCAGAAGATCACACACTCAAGCTGTGGAATTTACAGAAAACTGTTCCAGCTAAAAAGTAAGCCTGTTTCCCTTACAATTTTAACTTTGTAAAAAATGTCATAAGGTTGAATATATTAGAATATGGCATGCATTAGCTCATTAACAGGATTTGTGAGAGAATGTTTCCCAGTAATTACCTATACCGTTTTGAGAAATTCTGAAACCTGAGTGTGGACTTGGAAGTATCATTGCTCAGTAGGTTTTGATGATAAAGACTTCTAATCTGAAGACCTATTCATGAATAGAGAAGTAGACATCATATATCATGCTTATGGGTATTTTTTGGTCAGTGAACTATAGCTGCCTTTTTCAGTGCTGGTTAGGAGATGTTTTAAACAAGGTATGAAGAAAACCATTTCGAGTGAATTATTGTACATGACTGCTTATTATATTTGGCTTACCCTATTGGGGGATTGCATTTAATTCTATTTCTTTTAGGGCTGCCTCTCTGGATGTGGAGCCTGTGTACACATTTCGAGCTCACATTGGCCCTGTCTTGAGCCTGGCTGTCAGTCCGTCAGGGGAGCAGTGCTATAGTGGTGGTATGGACACAACAATTCGCTGTTGGAACATACCCAATTCTAGCATTGACCCCTACGATTCATTTGGTAAGTATTCTGCTACTTGGGCTAGATACTATTAGCTTTTTTGAAGGAAAATAATGAGAATCAAGTGACTTCGGTTTTCAAGCAAATTTTATGAGATGATGAATCATCAAGCCTGTTGTCTGTTAGTTTCTTAGATTTCCTATATTTTATTAAAAGCTTTTTGTTTTTTATAATCACACCTACATCAAGGTTATGTGTTGTGAACAAGACCTTAAGAATTTTTCTCCAGTTTATCTCTTGTCTCACTCTTTTTATGATTCAGATTCCAGAACCTTTATTCAATTGTTTATATATAATGCAAGTCTGCTAAGTCATATGAATAGTTGTAGGTGGTTGATGGGTGTGGTTTGTTCCTTTTGTTTCAAGCATCCATTGTCCTTACCTCTACTTATTTTGTGTTTGTTACTCTCTTGAAAACATCTCTGATCTTCGGCACTTATTTTACTTACTTGGTGGGTGTTTGGAGGGTGCCACTGGTAGGTCATACTTCTTAATTTTCCCTTCTATTGATTCTGTCTGTGTGTCTTACTTTTTCCCAGCACTAAATGACCATTATTGTGTCGATGTGCTTCTCTTTATTCAAAAGAACAAATTGACTTACTTGTATTGCAAGTGCTGTAAAACTTTGACTAAAACAATATAAACAGTTCACAATAGGTCAAAATGCATTTGTATGGTTTGTTTGTCATCTTGGGGTTTAAGCATTTTGTTATTGTTTTGTTTTTTCTTAATGTATTGGATTAAATCATTGGTTGGCTTCTTTCCGCAGATCCAAATGTTCTTTCGGACACCCTTGTAGCCCATACAGATGCTGTTTGGGGCTTATCAATACACAGTTCCAAAAACCAGTTGCTGTCTTGTTCGGGCGATGGTACAGTGCGTCTTTGGAGTCCTGGGAACAAATCTCCACTTCTTAACACGTTTACTGTGGATTCTGGTAAGTTCGGATCCTGTCTAGCTTTTCAAAATTATTAAGAAAATTCAGTGAAGTTTTATTGTTGCAGGAATTATGGAGAAAAAAGAGTAGAGCTGTCACAATTCAGAAAGTCCTTTTTTATGGTTAGATCGGAATCTTGAAACTTTACAAAAGAAATTTCTTCTTTTTTTTGTTTTTGTTCGGGGCTGTGTTGTGTTTAGGAATTAACCTAACCTATAAATATTCCCGCAACCTGTACATGTCTGATGTTTTAACATATATATATACACTTGTGTATTTTCAGAAGATGGAGTGCCAACATCTGTCGACTTTGTGCGTTGTGATCCAAACCAGATGGTTGCCAGTTATACTTCCTCCAACACATATATTTTTGATATTGAGACTGGAAAGCAGGTTCTGATGCTGGAAACAAAGCTTAATTCAGGTTATTGTCTTTGTGCATCTTCTATATTTTGTATTTTTTATAACAACGTTTTTTGAATTCCACCTCAAAAGCAGACTGTTTGAAGAGTTACAGACGTTATAATTTTAATACCAATAAATAATAAATTGGTTATTTGTTTTTGCCCTTTCAAATATTTGAATAAATGAACTATGAAGCAAAGGCAATAATAGAGGCAAACAGTATTTAGAGTTGGGGAGGGGTCAGGCATAACAGCGTAGACTGTTTAGACATGGACAAAGGATGAGTTTAGTGATAGTGATACACCAGCTGCTCATTTCAATGATTCTTGATCCTGCAGTTTTTATAAGAGGTTCAAATTTCATGTTGGTTGGAGAATTGATTTTTGTACTATAGTGGTATCGTGGCGAAATCTAGCAAACATCAAGATAAAATTGAAGAAACCGATATTTTTCTACCCTTAAAGCTATTTTGTTATATTTTTAAATCTGACGCCTTTTCTTTCCTTTTAAAACAAATTTCGGTGTGAATTTGTACTGTAAAATGTTAAGCTTTGGAAGCCTCTAAACTCTAGTGGTCATTTTCTAGGAAATTTTTTCTCTTACACAAGGCGACCCAAACCTCCTTCAACCACAAATGTGTCTACATTGTTTTGGTTTTTTTGAAGATTAATATTTTTTCTCAGAAGCCAAGACATTTGCCCAAAAATTGTTGTTGAGCACCCAATTCCACTTTGTCACAACACATTTTATTTTGTTGTCTGTCTGAATTGCTCGTCAAGCACTAGTTAATGTTTTTGAATGACTTGTGTCTGCAGATTCAAGTGGTAGCAACCAGATCAATCGTGTGATCAACCACCCCACTCTGCCTGTTTCCATCACTGCGCATGAGGACAGACACATACGTTTCTTTGATAACAATTCAGGTAAAACTTTTTCTGTTTGAAGAGAATACAAACTGTTGGTATCTTAGGCTGATGGTGTGGCTTTAGTTCTTGCTGTAGAAAATTTGTGAGTTTGATTTCCTGTGTTGCTGGGCAGGGTGAACCTTACCTACATGTGTCTCACAGGCTGCTAGGCTTTATGTCCCTTGTCGGTGGAATGGTAAGGGGGGGTCTTGAGAAGTCATGTGAGTCTTCATTTAGACAGGGTTCCACAGCCTAGATAGGGACTTTTTTACAACTTTGAATTTCGTGTGTTAAAGGGCAAGGAAAAGAAGAGGTCACAGTATTGGTTATTTTGAAGCCGGATGTATTGGCCAGGAAAATAAAGAGTGAATGAAGTAGCAGAAATGGGTCTGAGATGAGAAAGAAAAAAGTTTTCTGAACAAACAAATATTCCAGTTCAGTGGGGGAAGAAACTTATTGTTTAAAGTAAGAGGTTGACATTAACAGTCATTAGGAAGCCATGTTACAAACCTTTGATAATTCTTTCATATTTTATTTTGCTATGTGAGTATTTCCCCCACATAATGTTTTGTTGCTGGTCAATTACAATGCACCTGAATGAACACTTCTAACTGCTTGTTTGGTTAAAGGTTTAACTACTCTCAAGGGGTTAGATTCCAGCAGGCTATAACATTTTGGAAACATTTAATTTTGCGTATTCTCAGTTTTGATATTTTTATTTTTTTTCCTGTTTAGATAGACGAGTATATATTGCTATTTTGTTTTTAAAACAATTATTCTATACTCCACAGGCAAAATTATCCACTCCATGGTAGCTCACTTAGACTCAGTGACAAGTTTGGCAATAGATCCCAATGGCTTGTATCTTTTATCAGGGAGTAAGTATGAGCAAGTTGAAATTACATTTAATCATCCATTCATTTTGTTTCCTCTCATTTGCAGAATTTTTTTCTCTACTCAAGTTTGAAAAACTGTTATCCCTCTCAAAAGTTAAGTACCAGTTCTTTATATTGGCAGTAAGCTTAGTTTTGCTAGGTGCCATGAATGTTTACCGATTATAGCAGAACCTTTTCACAGTATATGTTGGTTAAGCATAGTTTTCTGTTGAACCCTTCTGTATACCTCTTGTATCCTTTTTCTGTTACTTTATGAGTCATAGTTGCAGATGAACCTGTTCAAAGCAGGACAGAAGAGGTCATTAAAAATCTCTGCATTCGACAGTTTCTTGTGAGAGGTGATTGAGTTTGTCAAGTTGGATGCAGATACAGGATGGATGATTCATGCTAAGCATAACCTTTAACAGTACCTAGAAAGTCTATAAGACGATACCAGAAAGGCAGTGACAGTTTTAGTCCATTGCCTAAATCCCGTTTCATGCATTCCTAATTCCCTCTTAGAGTCGTCCTCATCTATTCTCTTGTCTTTCTCTTTTGCTTGCTCCTTTTGGTGTTTATACAAGTCAACATGCTGGTGGTTGAGGGTGCCATAAATAGGCCTTACTCCTTTTTCTTTCCCTCTGTTGTTTTTATCTATCTTTTCTTCTCCCTATCCTAAGTTAAACGAAATTGTGTTGATATGCTTTAAAAAAATATTCCAGGTCAACACTAGCGCCACGTCAGCTTCATAAAGCGCAGTAATGTTTACATTGTGGTCATAGCTTACCAGGGTTAGGTACCACTTTGTCTAATGTTGACAACATCAGAGAGAGATTTGTGTGAAATTAAAGAAGGGAAACCTCTGCCTTTCTCGTAGTCAGAGAAGTGTTAGTTGGCTTCGGCCGCCACACAGGCAAAATTTAAAAAATTTCCTACTTATTGAAAATGTTTAATGTGTCCTGCACGCTCATATGACCTAATGCAGTTGCGAAAGAAGTGGTTGGCGGGTGCTCTGGTGTGGTTTGCTACTTCCTATCATCCTAATGTGTCCTTCTTTTTTTGTGTTTGTTATTCTCTTGTAACACCTCTATTACCGGCACTTATAAAACCTTATTGTGTTGCAAGTGCCATCAAACTCTTACTAAGACTAAAAGAAGTGGCCTTTTTTTCTACGCTAATGGGCACCTTTATATGGTCTCCTTTATATGGTCTCCTTTATTGATTTGAAGCTGTTGTGCTTTCTTCCTTCTCTGGTTGACTTTCTGGATTATTCGTTTTGAACAAGGGCCGCTTTTGTTCTTCAGAGCTTAAATTATGATGAAGACATAAGTTTTCTTTCTCTTTTTTAATTTTCAAAGGGGAACGAATTATACATTCCATTTTCATACATCACATGACAATATTGTGTGGGTTCAGTGTATATTTTTTCCCCAACGGAAGCTGAGAGGTTTCACACTTGACAGGTGCTATGATATTGTGTCCTTAGCTTTTCTTCTGAATTGAGTCATATTTGAATCAATGAAAAGTTTTATTAATAAGAATGTCGTGTTAATAATTTTCATGAAACTTCTCTTGTCGAACAAGGTAGATTAATGCCCATTTTATTTTTCTCTTCCACAGGTCATGATTGTTCTATTAGGTTATGGAATTTAGATAGTAAAACTTGTGTTCAAGAAATAACCTCCCACCGCAAAAAGTTCGAGGAATCTATTCACGATGTTGCCTTCCACCCCCAAAAACCATACATTGCAAGTGCAGGCGCAGATGCCCTTGCCAAGGTGTTTGTATGACGCGGAGAGATGAAAGTCTAGTCCTTTTGCTACAAAATTTTCTGCAAGCAATTATTTTTGCTGTTTTTGGATATGCTTTGTGTGTGTACTACTGGGGTCTGAGAAAGTGCCAACCATGATTTTAAAGTACTTTTTTAAATCCTGTTTTCCTCTCTCTGTCTCTTTCCGACTTTGTCTCTCCTTTCCTGCCTCTCATCACCTTCTGTCCAGTCTCTATTTCTTTCCCCCTTCTTGTGTAGTTGGATTGCAGTCATTCAGTTGCACAGTCTTTTTAGTCTTTATAGCCTTGGTTTCTCATCCCTCTGGGACAGATTCCAATACTGCTTTGCCATGCAATGATGGATGGCTGTTTAAATAAAGTCACCAGTTGATCAGCCGTCTAGCTTGAAGGCCTTCTACCTTTAGACACTCACAAAGGTTTTTTCTTTCTACAAGTCGCTTATAAGGGCATAAATTGAACAGATGCATAATTAGACTTTTATAGTCCCTTCTCCCCCAGTCCTTCGCAAATATATCAGGTTGTATCTCATTCATTTCAGTGTTAGTGAAAGATGTGTAAATTAATGCCAGAAATACTTATTTTTGCCTCTTTTTCCCCCCTCCCCCTCTTGCATCTAGGAAGCAAACACTGCTTCATTATTGTATGGAAGAGAAAAAAGGACTATTGTAAAGAATTTCTGAGCTAGAGAGCAAAACTTTTTTTTTTCTTTTTTTTTTTAAAGTAAAAGAGAGATGAGTGTTTGAAGTGGAACATTGCTTGCCATATAGAGATGTGTGAAAACTGTATAATTTAATCATGCATGCACTATACTTTGTTGCCCATATCACTTTTGCTCCCCACTCAGCCAGGGCTTATAATTTGTACATGGTCATTTTTGGGGGTTGCTTTATATGCCGGTATATATTATATATATATGACCTAGGATAAAATGAGATGTGTATAGTTGGCACACATAATGGTGAACATAATGTGCTCTGTCACGTTGAAGTGTTTTACCTCTAATAATAAGTGGGAAGATCTCGTTATTCAGTTTATGCTTGGTGAGTGGTTGGGGGGATTGGCGGGCTGGTCTCCACTAGTGGAATAATTCATGGTGAAAGTTTTCAAATTTAAGACGCAGTCTCTGGAGAATGAGGAAAGAATTACTTAAATACTGAGAGTTTATTGCAAGTTCCTGCCTCTTGAATGTTGTAATTTTTTTGCCTATGTAGATTCGTCATCAATGCAAAAATTTTAAGACTAGAAATGAAGACTACTTGTAGAGGGTTAAACATGTGTCAGCTCGTTTCATCCTCTTTCACTCATTTCAGTACAGTATTTTTCGGTGACACTAATTATCATGCAGATACTATTTCACAGAAGGGTTTCTTTTTTCTTTTCAGGATAAAATTGATAACATAAAGATATTTTGTCTATGGTTTTTAGTTTTTTAAAAGAAAGAATATCTGGCTTGGCTTTTTTTTTATTTGCCCTATGTATAAAACATTCATCACAGGGTTGAAGCTGTAGCGGCTGATGCAAGCTTCTCTCTGTTACAGTGCGTACTCTTTTCATAATCAAGACTTTACTGTTTGGTTTCTAATTATAAACAAGTAAAGCCAAAAGTTCGAAATGTTATAAATAAACTATGACTGTCATACCCAGCTTATCATCATTTCATAATGATAACTAAGTACTCTGTATTTAATCGTAAAAACTTTTTTTTTTGTTGAGAATCAACCCGACAAGATTTTTTATGTTGTGCGTGCATTTCACATAGAGGGGAAAGGTCTGGGCTCAGTTGGTGGCATTTGTACAAGTGGTTCCTTGACAATACAGTGTTACAAGTGGAGGCTCACCTCTCACAAGTAGCACTTTTCACAGAATAATACACAAGAGACTTGTACACATATGCAATATCGCAACGTACTGCTAAGTATTGTGCTATCATCCCTAATCCCACGTAAGTACTTGTAAGATATTTTGTGTAAAAAAAAAAGTGAAAGCCCATTTGTACAAATCCTTGTAAGTATATTATTTGATTAAGCTTATTATGTATTTACTAGATTTGTAGTGAGTGACTGACTTTATGGATGATGTTATGGTAGTTGTGCAATGATGGTCGTCATACCAATGTTTTAATTATGAAGACAGATAACAGCGTTGGGGAATATTCTATGATGTTCTATTTTTTCTTAGTCGTTTCATCTCTGCATTATTAGATGCTGATGTCTTCTTCACGAGCGTGTTGGCTGCTCTTTACATGTATAACTTGTGGTCTGTTTTTTCTTGGATCGGCTGAAGTGTAAAGTCTTGAGCAGACACTTGTTTGTTGTTCTTGGGCCTTTCCTTCTATTTTTCACACTTTCGCATTTTTTACACCTCTCCACAGGGTCAAATACACAGTGTAGAATAATGAAATGAAAGTAGTGTCACTGTTGGTGGGTTTTCCTTTCCTGAGTGTTTTTGAGGAATTAAGTATATTCCCCCTAGGAACAAAAATTGCTAATCCGAATACCATTGAAAACAAAGCATTGATAAATTTTTTTGGTTTCCATTCTCAGTACAAAGAGACTTAATTTATAGTTCAGACCCTGTTGCTAGTTCAAAATAGTCTTATTTCATTGCTTTCAGTATGTTCACGGCTTGGTTTAAATTTAAGGTGGGTTTTGTTTTTGTTGGAGGGGGGTTGTTTGGGTTTTTTATGGGGGGAGGGGGGTTGTTGTTGCTATTGTCGTTGGGGGGGGTTTGCTTATATAGATCTGCTTTTGCTCCATGAAAAGATTTATGGAGATTAGAGATTGCACTCGGGTAGTCTTATTACTAAAGTCCATATTACAATTTTTACCTCATTTTTGTGTGTGTTGAGGCATAATCAAAGATGTGTAATGTGTAGCAAAGCATTTTTGATTGTTAGATGTAAGAAGTTAGAAGAAGTAAGTTAGTAAATATAACTGCTAGCCTTGTCAGCTTGCATTATACCTGATGACCTGATAATGTGTGACAACAAATTTTATATTTGGTCAGGAAAAGAAAGTGATATTATTAAGTTTTATTGTGAATTTGAATCTCTGTCATTGTGTAAGGCCATTTGCAGCACACATCAAGAGGTGCCGGGATTATGCAGACTAAGCTGGGGATTTTTGGTGGGGGGGGGGAGGTTGGAAGAGGGGGGGGGGGTGGATTAAGGTTGAATTAGGTTCATGATGTAAATTGTTGTTGTGTGTGGTTCAGAAATGTATAGAAAAACTTCCTTTCCTGTTTACCACCCTCACTCAAATTTGATAGAAATACTTTTTGAAAGCAATTGACACTTATAGTGCAAATATATAGATCATATGAGTTGAATGATTATAGTCTGCTGGACAAAGGTCTTATTAGTTGTAAAGGAGTATGATATACATTGTTTACAATATGTTGTTTGTGGTGGTGTTTTTTTAAAGTAACTAGCAGAAAGTTCAAAGATTGCAGGCTATTTCCTTCTGCTTTTCTAGCTTGTTTCTTTGAAATATTAACTGCTTGAGCTCTGCTCTCACGCAATGGACCACTGAAACAGCATAAAGAATTTTAGTGAGGCAGCCATTCATGTGTACATTTAAAAGGAAGGGTGTGTGAAAAAACTTCCTGTCTGTTCAAAATAATGTTAATGTGCTTTTATAGTCCTAGAAACAGGTGTTTTATGGCTACACGCAACAATGGCTATTTTGTCATAAAGACGAGGACTGGCCTGTCGAACCATGAGGTGAAATGAATTAATAGGTTTACGTCTGAAGTTTCAGTGGTGTGTGCTTTGCCTTCTGTGTATGCAAATATGAACATCGAGCAGAACAGTTGGAGGGTGCTACTAGTGATTCCCATTTCTTTCCAGGCCTGCTGTTATTTTTGTCTGTAGGGTTGGATTATCCTCTACGCTACGTAAATCGTGTCCGTGTGCTTTTCTTCACAAACAGAAGGTCATTGAATCTGCTTGGACCTAATGTCAAATAATGTTTTTTACAGCTTTGGTGTATCTCATGACTTTTAATCACTCAGTTGCCAGATATTTGGTGCTTTATCAAGTATTGGGGAGAAAAAAGTGTATTCGTAGCAAAAGTATGTTTTCTTCATTACTTAATTTATTCTATAATTATTAATTTTTGTTCCACCACTGTTGTCATGCTCTTGAAAAATGTTGTTTTACTATAGTCATACTTACCATAATTCACATTTCTTGAATCCAAGATGAACTGAGATAATATATTGGAAGTATCATCACTTAAAACAATATTTCTTGACATGAAAAGGCTCTGTATTTCAGCTTTCTGAAGTAAACATTTAATATTCATTTGAGATGCTGCCGTGTGAATGCTGCTCAGGTGCAGACAGACCAAGATTTGTGTTGACTGAGCTCACCACTATGTTGAATGTCTTAGCTGTGTTCTCTTTGCATAATCCAATTTTGAGTCCTTTTGTTGATGTTACTGTCCTACATCTCTACTGTTATCAGTATGTTTATATATAGATCATCAGAGGGTTCCCATTCTGGTTTGTTTTTTATTATCATCGTAAGTCTTCATTGACGAGTTTGTAAGATTCTCTAAGAGAAAAATGCAAACACCAGAAGACAGGAAACAAGTTAGTAAGATGTGCATTGCTTTGAAAACAAATTATTTGTCAATAGGATTGTGATGGGCAAGGGAGGGGCGGGTCCCTTATGTTAAGTTTCACAAGTGGGGTTTTTTTGTTGTTGTTTTTTTTTGTTGGGTTTTTTTGTTATGTTTTACATTTGTTGATGATGTGGCTCCAGAAATACTCATAATGGCGACTGGACTTTGGTCAGACAGAGCCAGTTAGTATCCCTTCTCCAGCACATCTGTATTCTGTTAAAACGTGGGTTATCCTTGGACGAGCAGTTTCAACTTTCACTGCTTTAAAAGATGTTTTTTCATAAATGAATGGGTAGTGGTGAAATGAACAAGAAGAGTAGTTCTTGATGGGATTAACTCTCGAACGGTTGTTTGACAATTCATGGAATCCACTAGTGATGTTTTGTGGTAACTAATAGAGAAGGGAGAATGTGGGTAGGTTTTAAATATCTTCACATCACGTCATTCTTGATGTGAGCAGTGAAAGTTGGCGTTGTCTCTCCAGTTCTACTAGCTTCGTGGATGAATAAAGGATACCCTCACATATATACAAACCATGCGTCTGTGACTGGTGTGTAAAAATGATGTGTATTGTTTTGTGTGTCATTTGCTGCTTTGACCAGACAACTTTCATCACAAACATGTTATGTCTGTTGGACTTTTCTCTGTCCTGGGATTCTGTATTGTACAAATTCATGAGTTTATTCTGTTAGGTTAGACTGAAATGATTTTTAATAAGTAGCAGCACATTGGTTTATCCCGTTCTTGTACGAGTGTATATTAATGAATAAATACATAATGTCAATGCTGGTGTTTAATGTGGTCTTTATTTGCACCATTTCATGTATGTGAATGTGTGTAAGTGGATGGGTTACGGTAGTGCTTTCGGTAATACTTTGAAAAAGGGATGAACGGATGTACATGTATCGCGACCTCAGTGCTTTCCTGGCGTATCTCCATTTTCCTATACAGTGAAAACAGTTCGTTTCAAAGAGTGAGCTTAAGAAGTCACATTTTAAATGTTTTTAAAAAATGGAGATACAACAAGAAAGCACTGAGGTCGGGATATGTTGGGGGGGTGTGATGGAGTGGTGGACGTGGACGTATGACAAATTACACTGGTGTTGCTGGCCAGGGAGTTTAAATGAAAAAGGGAAGTTCTATTTCAGTTGTGAGTTGCAGAATGTACATTAACATTTTTGTGAACCTTCGATATTTGCTGAGCTGAATATTCTCTGGGGTGGTTTACACGTTTTTCAATTTGCTGCTACTGGCAACGCAAGACCGTGGATGGTTGGCGGGTGCTCTGGTGTGGTTTGCTCCTTCTTTCCTATCAAACATCTATCGTCCTGATCTATCCTTCTTTTTTTAGGTTTGTTACTCTCTTGTAACACCTCTAATCTTCGGCACTTATATGATCTTGTTGTGTTGCAAGTGCCGTAAAACTATTACTAAAAACTTTAAAAAACAAAAACGCAAGACTTCCTGTTTTAAAAAGTTCTAGCCGTTTGCAAAACCTCCGGTTTGAAAACTTACATATTATATACACATAAAATGAGAAAAAAAAATTGTACAATGATGATTACATCGCATACATGGACAACTATATATAATTTTAAACTGAAAATGGAGAGAACGTTTTGTTCTATATAGAAATCTTGGCATGTTGCATTTCAATTGGAAGAGACCCATTGGCACGTGTCATCAGAAGAAGTCAGCCACTTTAGTGCTGCAGATTTGCAATTGTGATTGGCAACTTGGCAGTCTTGTCTTCCTTGGAGCATTTCCTTTCAGTTCAGTGTCCTGTTGGGAGATCGGGATGCTCCTCATTAGAAATTTTGCTAACAACATTGGTGGTGTCTAAAATCTATAGTAGGTCTTTACACTCTGACTTTAAATTATGTTATTATAAACTTTTGCAGTTGGGCACTGATGACACGAACACAGTAAACTAAAAAATGATGGACAGCTCATGCAATTTGCCGTTCCTGACTGAACCGCTATATATTTTTCTATTATTTTCTTAGCGGATGTGTGGAACAGCTCATGTCGAAAATCGAAGATCAACATTTTTTTTTCACAAATTAAATTGTCTCAAATTCAAATCGTCCTGCGGGTACAAATCAAAACAACACGGCAACCGTCATTGAGAGTACAGTGGAACTCGGATTCAACGAGGTCGCTGGGCCTGACCTAAAGTCTCGTTGAATCCGAGTCCGAGTGTTCGTTATAGCAAATTTGAGGTGAAATAGTGAAATGGTATAGGTTTAACGCCCCTTTCAACACTATTAGGTTATTTAAGGGGCGGGACCTCCTAATTTAATTAACGTCCGTCTCCGATGGGACCGCAAATATGAGGTTTTGTGTAGATAAGTACAGGCACTGAGCAAGTAATGTATAAAGAGAAGTAACAAGTGATGCCTGGAATGTCTGCATATTGTGACCTGTGCAAAAAAAAAAAAAAAAGATTCGTTCAAATGCACGCCTGTGTCATCTCATCTCGATTGTTTGCCAAAAAAGTTGTGTTGCTGTGTAGAACCTAGCATACGGCAACATTGATTCCATAGACCAGCGCACAAATCATTACGTAGATCTACGTCAAGACTAGCTTATTGTAATACATGTATTGATCAGTTGCCGAGAGAAAAAGACTGACGCGTTTGTATCAGCGACGTTCCACGCCCGGGCCGCTGCCCCCTTTGGAAATGGCCTAAAGACACTTCAGTCAGTGGCACCGCCCCGGGGGGTGTGGCAAGGTATGGTCGAAGTGAGACAATGTAGCTCTGTATTGTATGGTTTGTGAGTTGTGTTTGCGTTTGATCGTGTATGTGGTTGTGTGTGTGTGTGTGTGTGAACGTGAATGTTGGCCCTATGGATCGGGATGTGTTTGCAAAAGAGGGGTTGGTGGCCTGCTTTGACCAGTGTTGTTTTCATCGTCAAGGCCGTGGTCTAGAGTAAGAACAATACGTGTATTTGTTTTGAATTTCTTTATTAGTGTAGTACATATAGTGGTACAGTCAAACACAGTTGTACAACCCCCT